CTCGCTCATTCCTTTGTTTTATGTACTGTATAGACTTGTTTTGTTTTGCCTTATCATTTGTTTGACGGCATATGTTTGTATTGTATATGATCTAACAAAGCAAATACTTTATTGGTGTGACACAACATACACAAAAGTCATATATTTGTTTAAGGTTGTATAAATATGTTTTGATCTGACGTATATAGTTTCATTGGTTCGAAACAGATTGCAACTATACTGGTTTGAGACAAGGTATTGTGTTGCCATAGAATATGCTTGATTTGACACAGGACATAATGTGCTTGTATTGATTTGACTGAAGACATGCTTGTATTGATGGGATACAGGACATGCTTGAATTGATTTGATAGAAAACATGCTTGTATTGATTTGATACAGTACGTGCTTGTATTGGTTTGACGCAGTACATGCTTGTATTGATTTAACATATTATATTCTTGTATTGGTTTGAAGCAGGACATGCTTGAATGTTTTTTATGCATGACATTTTTGTATTGATCGGCACAGGCTCTGCTTTTATTGGTTTCACAAATGGTATGCTTGAATTGGTTTGAGAATGGGCTCGACAGGGCTCGATCAGCATAGGCTTCTATTGGTTTAACACAGGAATATGCTGGCATCAGTTAAAAACAAGATATAGCATGGAAACTGTAGTCACGTTGACCTACCTATTGAAAAACGACCAACTCGAAAAGACGACACAATATCTCGCTCATCTCACAGAGTGCAGTACTACAGTACTGGTCCTTCTGCTGACATAAGAGATTTTGATTAAACAACATGGCATCTGATTACAACGCCCACAAATACAAACAGGTAGCATTGGCTACTATTGCGTATATCATACAAGGTGTTAACTGTGAGAGCCATTACAAGGATGGTTTCAGTGCTGGGTATGTCGATATTGATGCATTTATCTCCCCTCTTCAAGTAGCGCTGAACCACAGGCCCTCGTGTCTTTGCGAGGATTAAAGATTTTAAAACAATATATTAAAAATATTGAGATGACCCCCGACTAGAAATTCTTCCCAGTACAATACATCATGTCATCTCATACATTCATCTCAAAAACAATATTTTTTAAATCTTTAATCCTCGCAAAGACACGAGTGCCTGTGCGCTGAACAGGTATCAGTAACGGGATTTGGACTGTTGGCAACTGTTTGTGCTATGTATTCACAGGTAATTTTCAGTATAACCCTTCCTTCCTGTCCCACAGTGTATATCACAGTGATGTATAACTAACCGAATATAAGGCCAGTGGAATCATTGGATGACGTCATCAACAACGATATGCCTCCGAGTTACTTTAGTGAATGGGTGAATATATTTTAACGCCGCTTTTAGCTATATCCGAGCAATGTCACAACGAGGGACACCAGCAAAGGGCATCGCATGTACCCATGTGGGGAATCGGGCTCGGGTCTTCTACGTAACAAATGAACTCTTTATCCACTTGACTACCCACAGTCCCCGCGTTAGGTGAAACTGGGATCCAATATATATGCTTTTAATAGTAGGGGATACTCTTAAATACCTTTTCAAAAGTTCATAATGAACGAACTGGGAACTGGACCTATAGTGCGTGTTAGGTCACACGTTAGGTCACACGTCACACGTTCTTTCACTGGGCATACGGCGCGTGAGTGTCCCAATCGTGATAGCCGAAGAGCCGGGTTCGACTCCCCACATGGGTACAATGTGTGAAGCCCATTTCTGGTGTCTCCCGCCGTGATATTGATGGAATATTGCTTAAATATTGCACACAACCTCGCTCACTCCGTCTTGGACACACACACACACACGTGTCTTTCATGTCACAGACGTGTTCAGTGGGTGACAGATCTGGACTCGTTGATGGCAATGGCATTCTTGGATGCTGTGCTGCTACAGGTGATCATTGACGGTTCTTCGAGGGTGAGCATCGTCATTGCTTTTCACAAAGACAAACGTCGACCCACACACCTTGCAAACGGGACAGCAAAGGTTGTGAAATGTTGCCCTATAGGGCTGTCCAGTGACCCGTCCTGGCACAATATTGGGTGTGGTTCGCTCAGCCTGGTTCCCTGAGTCTGTTGCACCTGCGCTACGCTCCGACACAGTGTCGGAGCGCAGCGCAGGCGCAACAGACCCAGGGAACCAGGCTGTGGTTCGCTCAGTAATACTGGTGCTACCCCACAGCATAACCGACCTACCGCCAGTTCTCCCAAGATGTCTGGGGCGGTGGGGTAGTCTAGTGGTTAAAGCGTTCGCTCGTCACGCCGAAGACCCGGGTTCGATTCCCCACATGGGTACAATGTGTGAAGCCCATTTCTGATGTCCCCGTCGTGATATTGCTGGAATATTGCTAAAAGCGGCGTAAAACTAAACTCACCCACTCACTCACTTTTAGCGCTAGGCCGAGGAAAAGTAAGAACAATGTCGCAATTCAACAAGGAGATCAATTCATGGACACTCCATTCAGGCACAATATACTTTAGAAATACAGCTCCATCTACCCCCACGTATAGTGTAATAAATTACAGTTTTGCCTGAACTATTGTGGTTAAAGTACGATCGTCAGCATGTGGGGTTTGTTGACCAGGGTGCCGTTGTACAAAGCCATCTTAGGGCTAAGGTGATCATAACTTCCATACCTTAACATAGACTTACGACTGTCGTAGCGCTAAGGTGATCGTAACTTCCATACCTTAACATAGACTTACGACTGTCGTAGCGCTAAGGTGATCGTAACTTCCATACCTTAACATAGACTTACGACTGTCGTAGCGCTAAGGTGATCGTAACTTCCATACCTTAACATCGACTTACGACTGTCGTAGCGCTAAGGTGATCGTAACTCCCATACCTTAACATAGACTTACGACTGTCGTAGCGCTATGGTGATCGTAACTTCCATACCTTAACATAGACTTACGACTGTCGTAGCGCTAAGGTGATCGTAACTCCCATACCTTAACATAGACTTACAACTGTCGTAGCGCTAAGGTTGTTTTGTACAAAGGCACCCTGTTCTATAGTCTGATAATCATCGGCCACTCCATTCTGACTTAGAACTGTTCCCGGCATTGCGATGAGTTTGTTTTGTTTGATGTTTAATGCCGCACTCAGCAATATTCCAGCTATATGACGGCGGTCTGTAAATAATCGAGTCTGGACCAAACAATCCATTGATCAACAGCATGAGCATCGACCTGCGCAATTGGGAACCGATGACATGTGACAACTGAATCCAATTCCAGCAGGTATTTCTTTACGATAATTTCGTATTTGAAAATCATATTCCGGGAAAAACTAAACGGTCGATGTGGGAAAGGTTTAACAAAGAAACCTTTTATTGTCTTTTATACTGAAGGTCTTTAAACATAGGCGCAAAACATGGGAAAAGCCACAGTGAGTGGCTGAGTTTAGTTTTACGCCGCACTCAGCAATATTCCAGCTATATGGCGGCGGTCTGTAAATAATCGAGTCTGGACCAAACAATCCATTGATCAACAGCATGAGCATCGACCTGCGCAATTGGGAACCGATGACATGTGTCAACCAAGCCAGCGAGTCTGACCACCCGATCCCGTTAGTCGCCTCTTACGACAAGCATGGGTTGCTGAAGATCAATTCTAACCTGGACCTTCACGGGTAGTAAAACAACAGGGATTCCGAGATGAAATAATTCGTCAGTGTCCCATGTTGTCCAAGAGAGGCTAAAGGGGATCGGGTGGTCAGGCTCGATGACCAGAGTCTGTGTTGTCGGTCTGTGGATTGTTGCTCATGCTTTCAACCACTGGTTTCCCTGGTCCAATGATCTATCGTCCCTGTGATATAGCCGGACTGCGGAGGTAATAACAGATTTATTGAACACTAACCGGCCTATCTGGCTGACCTGCCTCCTCTGCAATATACCCGTGAATATCCGGGTAAGAGTTGATCTTCAGCAACCCATGCTTTTTGAAAGATGCGACTATAGGGATTGGGTGGTCAGACTCGCTAACTTGTTTAACACCTGTCAGCGTATCCTAATTGCGTAGATCGATGTTCATGCTGTTGATCACTGGATTGTCTGGTCCAGACTAACTTATCTACAGACCGCCGCCATATAGCTGGAATATTGCTGAGTAAGGTATTAACAAACAAAACAACCCAAACAAACACACTCTCCTGCAATATGTGAACCTAGCCTTTAAATAGACACAGCATTACAGACAGTGGTCAGAGGTCCATTATTATTTACAGACCGCCGCCATATAGCTGGAAAATTGCTGAGTGCGGCGTAAAACTAACTCACTCACTCACTCACTCACTCACTCACTCACTCACTCACTCACTCACCACTCACTCATTATGAATACTGAAACAATGTAGACTAAAACCTAACTTTGTCAACAAAATACATGTAGTGAAAACTGTCAACTCCGTTTTGTTGCAAAGATAAAGTCGGTCAGACAACAAGACATCACACACGCCGGTAGCCCCATACTGACACACTATATGTGTGATATTTATCTACAGTGACACGTTACCCTACGGCTTACGTCTCTTAAACAGCGGTGTTTTTTAATTTTTTGAAAATTACATATTCTGTTTCAACTAAACCGTTTTTACGATGAAAGCTGTTTTGCAACCATGAAATGTCAAAGGAGAGAGACGACCTGTTTCGTAAAAGATAACATGTTTACATATGTGTCAAATGAAAAAGGTCAGTTCTTGACAAACAATGTAATCCCAAACCCTGGCTTTTCTAGAAATCTTGTTCATCTGCATTTTTTCATAGAATGTAATTACTATTTTTCAGCTTATTCACTGATCGATACGGGTATGTATGATACGTTTTCAAGCTGTGCCCTACAATTGATCAAGCCACCAATTACATGTCACATTGCTCGAAGGTTGTCAATATCACGTAATAAGCGAACCCCTCGTTATACAGCACACCATATAGAGAGGACAACAGTGGACAGATACGGCCATATATTATTGATTCATAGCTGTAGTCACCTTCGGTCTAGTCAACGGTATTCTGTCGATCTAAGAAAACAGCATTTGACTATCAAAGGAAATGAATGCTTAAGGCAAGAACCAATCAGAATCGATTTGGGATTGTGTTGCCCGGCAACCGATCTCTATTTCAATCGAGTCTCCCCGTGGGTCAGTCATTCGAGAGGACATCCTGTTGCTGATCAGTCGATTCGTGTGTTGTCACTTGTCAACAAAGAGGACCAAACCATCCAGGTAGGAGGCATCGTGTTTATATAATGTTATTGGCACCATGCAGCATGCGACAGGGAAGGAGATATTGACATACAATTGACGTGCAATATGCAACGGTATTTACTCGCATCTGGCACCATCGTGTATAATGTATGTAGCTCTTTATTAAAAGCTGTTTGAAATATGTTTCATATCTGTACGTGCATCTTCAGTGCGTTCACTCTGTTACTGGTGCATCTTCGTCGTTTCACCTGCAGCCAGATAAGGTTGTTGCCAACAGCTGTCACACCGTGTTCTGAAATTGACATTGAAATGGACGGGGCTAATTAACCTTTATCGTACGGGGCTCCAGATGGCACGGTCAAACACGTAAAGCCTGCTGAATTTTTGTTCGACACGAGCATGTTGTGTAAGAAAGTGCTGAGTATGTCAAGAAAATATGTTTAGAAATTTATTTAGTCAGCATGTATTGTTTACAGTGCGATGCAGCAAAGGACGCCGTAGGTCAATGCAGTGTTGATATTTACGTCATGTCAAAATATTTTGTGCACTGTCTGTACGTTGCGTGATTCGCTGAATGCACTGAACGGATTCTCCATCGTGATTCTCCATCACCTGTACCGAATACTATCGTTACTATCACCTGTACCGAATACTATCGTTACTATCACCTGTACCGAATACTGTCCGTACTATCACTTGTACAGAATACTGTCCGTACTATCACTTGTACCGATTGTAATCGTTACTATCACTTGTACCGATTGTAATCGCTACTATCACCTGTACCGAATACTATCGTTACTATAACCTATACCGAATACTATCGTTACTATCACCTGTACCGATTGTAATCGTTACTATCACCTGTACCGAATACTGTCCGTACTATCACCTGTACCGATTGTAATCGTTACTATCACCTGTACCGAATACTGTCCGTACTATCAGCTTTACCGATTGTAATCGCTACTATCACCTGTACCGAATACTGTCCGTACTATCACCTGTACCGATTGTAATCGCTAGTATCACCTGTACCGAATACTATCGCTACTATCACCTGTACCGAATGTAATCGTTACTATCACCTGTACCGATTGTAATCGCTACTATCACCTGTACCGAATACTGTCCGTACTATCACCTGTACCGATTGTAATCGCTAGTATCACCTGTACCGAATACTATTGCTACTATCACCTGTACCGAATACTATCGTTACTATCACCTGTACCGAATACTGTCCGTACTATCACCTGTACCGAATACTGTCCGTACTATCACCTGTACCGATTGTAATCGTTACTATCACCTGTACCGAATACTATCGTTACTATCACCTGTACCGAATACTATCGTTACTATCACCTGTACCGATTGTAATCGTTACTATCACCTGTACCGAATACTATCGGTACTATCACCTGTACCGATTGTAATCGTTACTATCACCTGTACCGAATACTGTCCGTACTATCAGCTTTACCGATTGTAATCGCTACTATCACCTGTACCGAATACTGTCCGTACTATCACCTGTACCGATTGTAATCGCTAGTATCACCTGTACCGAATACTATTGCTACTATCACCTGTACCGAATACTATCGTTACTATCACCTGTACCGATTGTAATCGCTACTATCACCTGTACCGAATACTGTCCGTACTATCACCTGTACCGATTGTAATCGCTACTATCACCTGTACCGAATACTATCGCTACTATCACCTGTACCGAATACTATCGTTACTATCACCTGTACCGAAACTGTCCGTACTATCACCTGTACCGAATACTGTCCGTACTATCACCTGTACCGATTGTAATTGCTACTATCACCTGTACCGAATACTATCGTTACTATCACCTGTACCGAATAGTGTCCGTACTATCACTTGTACCGAATACTGTCCGTACTATCACTTGTACCGATTGTAATCGTTACTATCACCTGTACCGATTGTAATCGCTACTATCACCTGTACCGAATACTATCGTTACTATCACCTGTACCGAATACTATCTTTACTATCAACTGTACCGAATTCTGTCCGTACTATCACCTGTACCGAATACTATCGTTACTATCACCTGTACCGAATACTGTCCGTACTATCACCTGTACCGAATACTGTCCGTACTATCACTTGTACCGATTGTAATCCTTACTATCACCTGTACCGAATACTGTCCGTACTATCACCTGTACCGATTGTAATCGCTACTATCACCTGTACCGAATACTATCGTTACTATCACCTGTACCGATTGTAATCGCTACTATCACCTGTACCGAATACTGTCCGTACTATCACCTTTACCGATTGTAATCGTTACTATCACCTGTACCGAATACTGTCCGTACTATCACCTTGTACCGATTGTAATCGCTACTATCACCTGTACCGAATACTGTCCGTACTATCACCTGTACCGATTGTAATCGCTACTATCACCTGTACCGAATACTGTCCGTACTATCACCTGTACCGATTGTAATCGTTACTATCACCTGTACCGAATACTATCGTTACTATCACCTGTACCGAATACTATCGTTACTATCACCTGTACCGAATACTGTCCGTACTATCACCTGTACCGATTGTAATGGCTAGTATCACCTGTACCGAATACTATCATTACTATCACCTGTACCGAATACTGTCCGTACTATCACCTGTACCGAATACTGTCCGTACTATCACCTGTACCGATTATAATCGTTACTATCACTTGTACCGATTGTAATCGTTACTATCACCTGTAACGATTGTAATCGCTACTATCACCTGTACCGAATACTATCGCTACTATCACCTGTACCGAATACTGTCAGTACTACCACCTGTACCGAATACTGTCAGTACTATCACCTGTACCGAATACTGTCAGTACTACCACCTGTACCGAATACTGTCAGTACTGTCACCTGTACCGAATACTGTCAGTACTACCACCAGTACCGAATACGGTCAGTACTACCACCTGTACCGAATACGGTCAGTACTACCACCTGTACCGAATACGGTCAGTACTACCACCTGTACCGAAAGCTAACGGTACTATCACCTGTACCGAAACATTACAAGCAGGAACTAAGTTCAGAAGCATGTCTTCGGTGCTACCATACCAATATACATACAACTAAAAGGGATAATGTCAATGAACAACCATATCCAAAAGATAATCATGACATTGTGTTTAAATCTCATATTTCGAATTTCTCCCCTATCATCTGCCATGCTCATTGATTATGTTCCATATACAAGCACCATCAATCACGACCTCGTGTTTATGGACATATCAGGGGCAAAGGTCTCATGTTCGATACAGCACTTGATCATTTTCGATCATTAGCACCAACAATCACGTGCCTCGTGTATTTTTCCCAGAATCAAGAGTCACGTGCAATGTGTATATTCAACTTGCAGAACCAACAGCTCCATGTCTTGCTGTCTTGAACAAGCACCAACAGCCACGTGACTTGTGATTGTTCGACTTATCAGCACTAACGCTGACAGCCATATACATTATATATTATATACATATATATATCAGCACCTAAAATATACTGTCGACACAGCAGCAGAAAGAGCCGCGTGCCATATAATCGAAATGGTCAATACATGACTTCCTGTCCTGTTGTAATGTCGTAGTTCTAGTTTAGTCCAGAAATGACAGAAATTTGCTTTGCACGGTTTACCCATATGACTATTATCTATATGCTATAAACTATTATGCTAAAAAGCTATAATATATATTCTATAAACTATAATCTATACGCTACAAACTATAATCTATATGTTATAAACTATAATCGAAAATACGTTTTATATTCACGAGTTACATTTTGTTTGAAAGCTCTTTTTCCTACTGTAATGGCGTACCCATTATTTATACAGCGGCACCTTTGTTTTCATTGTGTTAATGTTTTTAAATCTTACAAATTAATCATTTCAGTGGAAGCAGTGTAGCCTTGCTCCAAGGCTGTACTGAATGCTAAGACCAGGGATGTATAGTAATTCTATCCTTTAAAGAGGCGAGTCTAGATAAGGGGACAGTACAAGGACGCCAATCTGTTATTTATATTTCTTTAGAAATTTTCATTTAAACTATTAATCATTACCTTAGAGACTTGTGCAAGTCTAGCAGCAGGGCAAAACGAGTGGATGAAGATGTTAGATGATGTCTCAGTGCATGTTTCAACAAGTGTTTCGTCAATTCACGGCAGTTGTAAAGGAGACACAATGTTAAAATTCCATTAATCGAGAAGAACGGATCGAGCATGGTGAAGGACTGAGGGGATGTTTCTGTATTGCTTGAAAATGGCATGTAGGCACGACCAGACTCTGACTTCTGGGTTGCTATCAGCGGCAGAGATGTTTCATCACTCTCCATGTGATTAATGAGGACGAGACTGAGATTAGGGGGAGGCTGAGATTGGTTGATGTCTGGAGATGAGACTGAGTACCACGAGGCTTGGTTACGCTTGGTGCTTGATTGTTTGCAATACTACAACTGAAGCCGCTTAACTAAAGAACGTAACGACCTCCTGCAAAGACGAGGTTGTTGTAGAATGCATATGCGTGTGCGTGTGCGTGCATTTGTATGTGTTTATGGTGTGTAGTGTCGTTGTGCTTATGCATGTGGGGGCGTGTGTGTGTGTGTGTGTGTGTGTGTGTGTGGCGGTTGTGTTTATGTGCTTGTGGGGTGTGTTGTGTGGTTGTGTGTTTGTGTTATGTCGGTACTGTGTGTTTGGTTTGACTGTGATGTGTGGTGTGGTTGTGTGTGTATGGTGTGTATGTGTGCGAACGCGTGTGTGTGTTCATGATGTGTGTGTGTGTGTGTGTGTGTTGTATGCGATGTGTGTGTGTGTATGTGTACGGGATGTGCCTGTGTGTGGTGTGTATGTACGCGATGTGTCTGTGTGTGGTGTGTGTGTACGCGATGTGTCTGTGTGGTGTATGTGTACGCGATGTGTCTGTGTATGTTGTGTGTGTACGGGATGTGT